CAGAGGCCAGGATCACACTACCGTCGGGGCTTTTCAAGGGTTCTGTTTCACCGGTGATGCAGAAAGCATGCCTATCTTGTGTGCCAGTGGTGACATTAGGGAGAACTCAGGAAATACAGAGACATCAAGAGTGCTGGTTCAAGGGACAGGGGCTCTTAAATTTCAAGTTGCAATTTCATCTTGCTAGGTCCTTGGGTGGTTAAGACCCAATGCAGGTGCAGGCCACAGACCCATGCACCTGCATAATCACAGGCTTCGTTTGGTTCCATCTACAGCTTGGCCACGAACAGCCAGCCACGTGACTTCAGAACCCTGTGACTGCTCACCCCACCGCTTTATGGAGTTGGGGAAAGACATACAAATGAAATTTTTAAACACTTAAAAATGCCCATCGGGTACTTTTGTCTTGTTCTTGATGTCTTAAGTATGGCATCTACAGCTCCTGCGACTGTAACGTGGAGGGATCGGAGCAGCACCTGACACACTGAATGGATGCTGTCAGGCATTCACGTATGTTGAGACCCACAGAGCTTATTCCTGTGCTTTGTACCTCTCCAGGCCTGGAGTCCCTCCGAGACAGTGCCCACTCCACCCCAGTGCGGTCCTCTTCCCATGGGGACACCTTCCTGCCTCACGTGAGGAGCAGCCGGGCAGACAGCAACGAACGCGTGGCTGTGATCGCAGACGAGGCCTACAGCCCCGCAGACAGCGTGCTACCCACCCCGGTGGCCGAGCACAGCCTGGAGCTGATGCTGCTTTCCCGGCAGATCAATGGAGCCACGTGCAGCATTGAGGAGGAGAAGGAGTCTGAGGCCAGCACCCCGACTGCGGCGGAGGTGGAGGCCCTCGGGGGAGAGCTGAGGGCCCTGTGCCAGGGGCACGGCGGGCCAGAGCAAGAACAGGTGAATAAGTTTGTTTTAAGTGTCCTCCGTTTGCTCCTTGTGACCATGGGGCTCCTCTTTGCTTTGCTCCTCCTCCTCATCATCCTCACTGAGTCTGACCTTGACATTGCCTTTTTCCGAGATATCCGCCAGACCCCTGAGTTTGAACAATTCCACTATCAATACTTTTGTCCCCTCAGGCGATGGTTTGCCTGCAAAATCCGCTCAGTGGTGAGCCTGCTCATTGACACCTGAGAAGGCATGACTCCTCCCAATAACTAGCCAGGTGGACCATGGAACCCGGCTACCCATTCCCAGCAATGGGACCCATCGTGGAACCATCGGCACCCACACCAACTCCTCCTCTCATGACTCAAAGTCCACTGCAGCCTAGGAGGGTTGTTTCCCAGAAGAAGAAAGGGATGTAGGCTAATGCCCCGTACCGAAAACTGGGGAAACTCAATTTCTTCAGAGGCTCTTCCAAGAAAGGCTCAGCCGCTCTTATGTTTCTCATCCTTCAATATGCAGGATAATTTCGGGGTTCGAATTTTAATTTTTCATAGATGTGTATTATTTTGAAAGTATCCGAATAAAAATAATTTATTTTCCTATACTGATTATTGTAGTAGTGTCACCTGGTAGATGGGACACTCGCTGAAGATGTGGAGAGCTGTTGTCCTCTGTCGCCTGCAGCTCTCACACTGGTACCACCAGTGGGTCCCGGGAGACCCAGCCAGGCAGGCCAGGGCTGAGGACAACCAGGATGGTTGAGGTCTACTTGCCAGACAGAAGGTTTAGCAAATCGAACCCTGTGCAGAACAATTAAATAGAAAGTTGCTTCTTTCAATGGTCTGAGTTGGATTTTCTTTTCCTTTTGTTTTTTCAAATCTGAGCAGAGTGGGCATGTGAAGGGACCACCACCACCACAGCAGCAGCAGCAGGAGGAGGGGTGGGGTAAGTCTGTCCCTTAGAGTAGAGCCTAGTGGACATCACTAGGTCTTATTTAATGGTTTGGGTTTTTTTCTGAAGAACTTTAAGACTCTTCTAGCGCTTCTGGGGTATTAAATGAAGTCAGTGGCAGCCAAGTGCACTGTGGGAAATGTCCTGTGGCGTAGTTACCAGAGACCTGTGCTAAGTGGCCTGAGAGCCTGCAGGGTGTAGAGAGCAGGGCTTGCTTTGTACAGTGTGCCCTTCCAAAAAAGGACTATTTCAAGCTCTATTTTAACAGCAAAATGTTATTTTCTTATCTATTCACATTTTGTTTTTACTTTGTGGATTAAGAAAATAGAACCTGATGAACTTATAGATGCAAGAAACAGATCTGAGGAAAACATCAAGAATGAGCAGCAGCCTTGGAAGGGACCAGGAGACACTAAATAAACAGAATCTCTAAGTGATGCCTACAAGAGACAGAATTTGACCATGGCAGAGACCAGCACTCACTGTAGAAATGCCACCCATCAGGTCAGCCTCTGCTCCTGGAAATAAGGCCAAGCAGAACACTTGGAGGGCATCACTCACAGCAGCACAGGAACACACTAAGGTGAGCAGGAGTCCCCAGGCCTCTGCACTTAAAAACAATCACACACAGATCTTGTTTTCATCTCAGGGAGGGGTTGCTAAGTCATCTGAGGCCCAAGGACTTATTAAAGGACAGTCAAGGGGTATACTCCTGGGACCCAGACAAGAGCGGAGCTAAACAGCCCCAAATGCAGGAGACTGGACTGTCGTACACGTGAGCTCCTTGTAATTTTTTTTTTGCCATGTTCATGTTCTGAATATAGCAGCCACAGAAAACCAGTGGTCTGGAGGATGCCAGGGCATTTACGTAATTTTAAAGATGCCATTCATATCTAGATTAGAGGTCAGCAAATCTCTTTTAACACAATTTTGGTTTGTGGACCATACTCTGCACACCACTGATAATGTATGCATAAGGGAACGTGGCTTACTCCAAGAAAATGCTATTTTAGAAAAAAGTGTAGGGCTGAGGATGTAGCTCAGTGGGTAGAGTACTTGCCTAGCATTCATAAGGCCCTGATTTCATGGCTAACACTGCATAAAACCAGGTGTGGTAGTATATACCTGTGGTCCCAGCATTCAGCTGGAGACAGGAGGATCAGAAGCTCAAGATCAAGCAGTTCAAGGCCAGCCTGGATTCACGAGACCCTGTCTCAGACCACCTCCCACTTCCAAAAAACAAAAGCCTGAAACTGCAATACGCTGAAATTGGCCTCCAGCCGTAAGATGCAGACCCTGACCTACACAATACAACTACCACATGTTAGCAAGAGCACCAGCTCCGATTCCTGTCTCACATGAGACCCAGAACCATGTCCCCATGGGGGCTTTGCTGTGTGCTCCACCAACCAGCAGTGATGTCGCAGCTGATACCAAGATCAAGTACTGCCACTCTGAACAGCAGTGACTCTAAGAACAGGCACAGGCCTATCTGATTATGTCCATACCAGCAAGAGTTTGGGTAAAACCTAAAACATACCACATGAGAAGACAAACTGAGGGGATCCTGGTAGACTAGAGAGCACGTCAAAGCCATGAGCCACTGCCACTTGTCAACTGCACAGCAAAGGTTCACTTAGCACAGGACTCTCGGGAATGTCCCCCAGAGGTGCAAAGGCTGTTGGGAAACAGGGCTGGTGTGGGCCGGGATCTCTCTTCTTATGCAACATAGCAGACTGCCTTCTAGTGTAGTGCTACCTCAGTTTGTAGAACACAGCGTCTATGCAGTGAGTGGCAGCCTCACCTCTGACCCTTCACAGCCACGAGAGGGAGGCAGCCTGCCATTGCCTGGTGTTTTCTTGTGTCTAGAGTCCTAACAGTGCAGCGGTCCTTGACGTTTCCAGCATCTGACCCGGAACCTTCAGGTTGTTTTTCCCCCAAGGCTTATCCCAGACAATAAGGACAGAAAAGGCTTCCTTCGATTTGGTTCCCAAATAGTTTTCAATAGTTCAACAACAAAGCCCCATTACTGGTGACTAGTGTTTTTCGGTATTTTCTCATCATTAAAAAAGTTCTGGTTTTCAGTCTGGTTTTGCTGTGTTCTGTGTTATGTCTCTTCTTTCCTCTCAGAGTTAGTTGATCTCACTGTAGAAAAACAGACTTGCATAGCGCCGTCGATCAGAGGTAATACCTCCTGAACAGCGTGCTGTACCTTTAAGCAGTAGAGGGTGAACTACCTACAAATGTGAATTTCTTAGTTTCATTTAAAAAGATATAGTTGTTAACCTTTCGTGTGCCAAAATCTCTTAAGTTACATTTTCCTTCAAAGCAATGTACTTTTTTCTACATATGCAGTATGTAGTTAGCATAAAATCATTGGTGCCATGAAGATTATTTTTAAACTTAAATAAATATTTAAATACCGTAAGAGAATGGGTCTTTTTTTTTTTTAAACTTGTAACTTGTCTCATTTTATCAAAAGTTACCACCAGTACATAGAGAGATTGACGGTTCAGCGATCGCAGAGGACCCAGGTTCAGATCCCACACCCACATAGTGGCTCACACCCGGCTAGAACTTCAGTTCCAAGGGGTCTGACGCCTTTCTCTGACCTCCTCAGACAACACACACACACACACACACACACACACACACACACACACACACACACACACACAATGAAAGTAAACACAATAGAAAACTTTCTCAGCTGTGAAACAGAACTACCATTCCCTCAGGAATATCCATGATAATTAATAAACTAAGCCTCCAACCTTAGTTTTAGCTTTTGGGTTTTTTGACATAAGGTCTCGCTGGCTGGCCTGGAAGGCACTAGGTAGACCAAACTGCCCTTGAACTCAGATCTGCCTGTCTCTGCCTCGAGTGATGGAATGAGAGCCATGCACCACCACACTTAAGACTTGCTTTTGACCCTTTGTGGTTGTGTAAGTGCTCTGCCTGCACGTTTGTGTATGTGCACCCACAGAGGCCACATGAAAGCACTAAGTGTCCCACAGCTGGAGCTACACAGGGTTGTGACCACCATGTGGGTGCTGGGCATCAAACCTGGGTCATTTGGAAGAGCAACCAGTGCTCTTAATTGCTGAGCCATCTCTAGCCTCTACGTTTTCAATTATAAAGATTACTCAAAGAAATTACTCAAGGAAAATCATACTTTATTCCTGTGACATATAATTATAAGAGCATTCCCTCTTACAATTCAAACACACTACCTAAGCTTTTAAGTCTTTCAGAAGTAACTTTGGCAAGTAACAATGGAAAAGGTTGACTATGTATAACTCTGTGACACCAGGCCACACTGATTTAGCAGAATATACATAAACATATGAAACTAAGTTTTATCTTAAAATACTCTAATTAAAAAATAAAAATATCCTAATTTTGCTTTCTGTACTTTATTAATTTGGGGGCAAGGGAAGGCGAGCCAGGTTGGCCTTGAACTCCTGATTCTCCTGCTTCTACCTCAAGTGCTGGAGTTAGGAGTTTCATGTGAAAAGTTACCACAGTTAGCTGTACACAGAGTGTGTACACAGTTACACACTGGAGTACAGGAGAATGGTGCAAGCTGAAGCACTGTGCAGTCCCAGCTCATTTCTGGAGCTGCCCAGGAGGCAGACAAACTATAGGTGTGCGGACGCAGGCCCTAGTCACAGAAACCAATGTTCCCGATGACTACTGTGGGAGTTTGTGACACTGAACTGAGATACAAGGACCCCAAAACAGGTTCTTAGCTTGCAAAATAAGTTCTGGCTGGGCATGTTAGTAAACACTGATAGTCCTAGCCCTTGGAAAAGTGAGGCAGGATGATTGAAGCTCAAGGCTAGCCTGGGCTACAGAGCAAACCCTAGTCTCAAAAACATCAACAAAGCAGAACTAAGTTCCAAAGGTGGGGGTGAGTCAACAGTGGAATACTTGCCTAACACGTGACAGTCCCTGGGGACCAATAATGTTTCATAATTAGTTGATCTTTTAGGACCTATTCCAGTATCCACCCAAACTATAAAATAAATCACAGATCTATAGATCACTATTGCATCAAAATGGTCTCATTATATTACAGAAAAGCTAATACTGACCACTCAAAGCTTTATCATTTGATAGAATTTCTCAAAATACAGCCTAATTAAAAGTGCTGAAAGATGCTGAGCGCAGCGGTGCATGCCTGTAATCTTAGCACTTCAGAGGGAGAGGCAAGGGGCTCCAGGGTTCCAGGTCGTTCTTGGCTACACAGAGTCGGAGGCCAGCCTGGGCCACACAAAATCCTATCTCAGAACCAAGTGCTGAAAGTATCCCAGCTTCTGCTCCAGGCCCCTCCCTCCTCCTCTAGAGATGGCCTTCAGGGTCCTCCAGTGCTAATGCTACATTCTGTACAGTCTCACTGAGAAAGCAATGTTACAGCTGCTAAATATAACCCATTACCAAACAGATGCATGAAGCTGAGAGAAGCACTTGCTTCCTCTGCCACACAATTGGAGCAAACTGTTGAACCTACCCAATAGCTCAGAAGCTTTCTTGATGCATAAAAACATGTAACCTCCCACTGGAATTACCTCCAGCCAGAACATACCGGGTAGGATGCATAACACTGAGGGAACACACAGATACAAGACAGTCTCCAAAAAAAGAATACACGTTCTTTCCCGTCTCGTGGAAGACTTCCACCCGCCGTGGGTGGGCCATACTGCCAACTATGAAGCAGTCTTCTTGTTTAGGGTCCCACACAGCTTGGAACCTCGTTAGCCATCTCCCAGTGATAGTGTTATGCCTAGTAGGGAAAAAAACAAAATAGTATGTACTTTGAAATGTTAAATAATTCAAGGTAGCATAGAGCAAAGTCAAAACCCAAACCCAGTGTAGAAATGCTCCTGTTGTCTGCTTCACCTTCCAGCCTTCGGCTTGTGCTCGGAGGGTGGTGAACTAGGCCTATGGAAACAGGACCTTTTCTGGGGCTGGCGATGGCTTAATGGTCAAGAGCACTAATTGGTTTGGTTCCCAGCACCCATATGATGGCCCAGAACCATCCATAACTCCAGCTCAAAGGGACAAATGCCCCTCTTCTGACCTTAGAAACAACAAGCAAAAAGGGGAAAAAAAAAAAAAAGGAAGCAAAAAAACTCATACACATAAACAAGTCTTAATTTTTTTAAATAAAAGATAACTTGTCACTTTTTTTTTCTCTTTTTTAAACCAGGTCTTATATAACCCAGGTTCACCCTGAACTCCCTAGGTAGCAGAGAATGACCTTAAACTTCTGATCCCCCTGCCTCTACCTCCCAGGTAATGAGATTACAGGCCTACACCACGCACACTTTACCTCCTTTATGCAGTACTGGGAATCGAACCCAGGGTTTCATGCTTGTTAGGCAAGTGCTCTACAGACAGACAGAGCTACATTCCAGCCCTAAAACAGTACCGTTCCTGCTCACTGTTCCATACACACACAAGAAAAACAATTGTAAGAACATCCTATGGGGGCTGGAGAGATGGCTCAGTGGTTAAGAGGTCTGGGGCTGCTCTTCCAAAGGTCTGGGGTTCAATTCCCACACAAATACATGCAGGCAAAACACCAATGTACATAAAAGAATAATAAATAAATTTAAAAAAACATACTATGAACAATCATATACCAACAAACTGAACAATGGAGAAGAAACAGACAAATTCATAGGAACACAATTTGTCAAGACTAACCCTAAAGAATGAAAAAAATATATAAATTCATTCATAACTATTTAAGGGGATTCACATGTACTCACACACAGAGGGAGGATGTGGGGGGGAGAGATCTGAGAGTAAGTTTGCATAGCATTAGTTTTCCTTTTGTTTCTGTTTGTTTGAGACGATATTCTGTAGCCCAGAAATTACTATGCAGCTCAGTCTCACCTCCAACCTGTGCAATGCTCCTACCTTACCCTCCAGTACGGACATCGCCTGTGTGCACCTCCATACCCAGCTTTCTTAATGAACACTGACACAAAAATCCTCAACCTGGAGGTGTGGCTCACCTGGTAGAGTGTCTATCATCCGCAAAGCCCTGAGTCCAATCCCTGTACCTCATAAACTAGATATGGTTTGAACACACTTATAATCAAGAACTGGGAAGGTGGAGGCAGGAAGATTGAGAGTTCAAGGTTATCCCCAGGTACAACAAGTTCCAGGCCAACCTAGAATAAAGAGACTCTGCCTTTAAAAAAAAAAAAATCCTCAAAAAAATATTAACAAACCGCTGCCAGGCAGTGGTTACGTACTCCTTTAATCCCAGCAATTGGAAAAGGAAGCAGAGGCAGGCAGATCTCTGTGAGTTCGAGACCAGCCTGGTCTACAGAGCGAGATCCAGGACAGGCTCTAAAGCTACACAGAGAAACCTTGTCAACAAACCAAACTCAACAGCATAGTAAAGAATTACACACCATGGTCAAGTGGGAGACAAGGATGGATGGTCCGCCATATAAAACCCAAACAGTGTAACATACCATGTTAACAAAGTGAAGGACAGGCACATGATCATCACAGCTGATGCTGAAAATGAATTCATGACACACTCACTCAACAAACTGGGAACAGGGGGAGGCAATCACCACACAATGAAGGCCACACGTGAGAAGCCACAGACAGACCCGATGCAGACGGACGGCTTCCCCTCTGGGATCAAGAATAAGGTAAGGACGTCCTCTCAGCACTAACATTGAACTTGGTATCAGCTATCAGAGCCTGATCATTAAGACAGGGAGGGGAGGAGGAAGAGAAGGAAAACTTCTACAGAGGACAGATCACATTTATAAACTATGATAAAAGATTCCATACACTTAAAAATTGACTTCAATCATTTCACACACAGTCACAGGATACAGGGACCGAAAAGATGGTCAGTCGACAGTTCTCACCACACAAGCACAGGAAGTGGAGTTCAATCCCAAGAACCTACTCAAGAAATTGGCCATGGGGGCAGTCATGGTGGCATGGGTACACTTGTAATCACAGGACTGAGGAGATGGGACAGGGAGACCCCTGGGGACCACATCACTGGCCAGCCAGCCTAGCCGAAACTGTGGGCCCCAGGAGCCACTGAGAAACCCTGTCTCAAAAATGAGAGTGGCCAGCTCCTGCAGAACACTACCTAAGGTTGATCTCAGGCTTCCGCATGGGCACACACACATTTTTAGAACATAGGATACAAAAGTCAACCAACATAAAAATCTGTTGTGTTTGATCCAGGAGTAGTCTCAGCTGTTAAGGAAGATGACTTTCATCCAGGAGTTTGGGCTAGCTAGGACAAACAGCAAGACCCCATCACTTAAAGGACTTTTCCTTGTCTAAAAGCGGAACAGGAACAGTCATACTCAGAAATCAGTTGTTTCATGTCAGGATACATGTCTATTTCTCAGTGGCGGTATGTCACGCTTCTGGGGATGCTCCGGTCTGTATGTAAAATGCACCACAGGCTCCTGTGCTTTGCAATCTCAGCCCCCAGCGGATGTTACTGATGTGGGCAGCTGTGGATCCTTTAGAAGTGAGCATTCTAAGCCAGGTGGTGGTGGCGCACGCCTTTAATCCCAGCACTCGGGAGGCAGAGCCAGGTAGATCTCTGTGAGTTCGAGGCCAGCCTGAGCTACAGAGTGAGATCCAGGAAAGATGCCAAAAGCTACACAGAGAAACCCTTTCTCGAAAAACCAAAAAAGAAAAAGAAAAAAAAAAAAGGTAAGCATTCTAGAAAAAGTGGTTACTGGAGTCTAGACCTTGCAGTTTACAGCTAAACAGGAAGAACCCTGTCCTTTGAGAAAACTGCTTCTGGGGCTGGAGAGGTGGCTCAGAGGTTAAGAGCACTGACTGTTCATGAGTTCAATTCCCAGCAACCACATGGTGGCTCACAGCCATCTGTAATGAGATCTGGCGCCCTCTTCTGTATACATAATGAATAAATAAATCTTAAAAAAAAAAAAGAAAAGAAAAGAAAAGAAAACTGCTTCTGGTTTCACTGAGGTGTGAGAACAAAGAATCTCAGCTGTCACCACAGAGCCACCTGTCACCACAGAGCTGTTAACACGTTCATGGGCACAAACCCACAGACAGACACAACAGCCTATAATTCTAGCTCCAGGGGCTCCAACACACATGTACATATCCACAGACAGATACACATACATGCATGAAATTTAAAACAAAAGTAAACCTTTAAGGAGAGAAAAGGAAATCGGCCCCAGCTACATGAGTTAGAAGCTAGCCTGGGCTATACAAACCTCAGCCTCAAAAACAAAAACAAAACAAAACACAAATAATGAGTAATTTTAAAAATTAAAAGACTGAAAAAGAGATGCTAACAGCTGAGTCTTACTTTGGGAACTGTGGCTTTTACCCTTCTCTCTGAACAGGATGGAACCTGCCATCTTGGAACTGGTTACAACTGTGCTCTCTAGACCAGCCACTTTTAAGTTTAGCCAAGAACAAGAACAATCATTATATAAGCAGTGTGACCCACGAAAGTCAGCTGTTACTACACATTCATAGCAGCCAAGCCAGAAACAAGATTAAGAAAAGAGCCCCACTGGCAGTGTGGCACACGCCTTTAATCCCAGAGCTCAGGAGGCAGAGGCGGGTGGATCTCTGAGTTCAAGGCCAGCCTGATCGGCAGAGAGAGTCCCAGGACAACCAGAGCTACACAGGGAAACCAAGCAAATAAATAAATAATAAAACAGAAAGTAAAATTTAATTTAATCTATATAGCACTCAAAAACCTGGACAGAAAAAATCCCTGAGATTTAAAAATGAGCAAATTATACCTGTTTACAATAAAAAAAAAAAAAAAGATATTTTGCTGGGCAGTGGTGGTGCACACCTCTAATCCAAGCACTCAAGAAGCAGAGGCAGGTGGATTTCTGTGAGTTCCAGGCCAGCCTGGTCTACAAAGTGAGATCCAGGACAGCCAGAACTATTATACAGAGAAACCCTGTCTCAAAAATAAAAGAACAAAAAAACAGGGGGATGTTTTATGTCTTTATTTTGAACATTACACTCAGGAATCAGTGTGTAAAGAAATCGTGGAGAAATTTCAGCTAATTTAAAATAACTCACCAGGAAAAGCCACTTATTTGTGCATTTTTAGTGAAAATATTTTTCACAATTCTCTATTTTTGCAGCAAGGTCACTAGCTCATGACACTAGACCACAGTGTCTCTGAACTCATCCTAGCCCAACGTTCTCATGTAAGTTGGATATTAACACTGGAAATCAAAAGCACCTGGCAATGAAGAGGCACTATGCTATTCTCAGTCCAAAAAACTAAAAATAAAACATCTGGCAAGTTACCTGGAGACAATTCTCCAAATATAAACATGGTCTCACTGAGCCCCAGCCCATCCTCCTGCTTCCACCAGCACAGTGCTGGGCTTAAAGACACATGGGCATCCACACCCGGCTCCTAAATTTTTTCTCCAGTGAGAAATAAAGACCTAATTCCATTCTTCAGTGGGCGGAAAGACAGTCTGCCTTCTGTGAGAAGAGCAAATGGCTCCCCCACCCACCCCAGTGCATGTTTTATCACCTTTGCCAAACATTAAGTCACAGATCTGTGGCTTTATTCTGGTGCATGCCTTTAATCCCAGCACTTGGGAGGCAGAGCCAGGTGGATCTCTGTGAGTTCGAGGCCAGCCTGGTCTACAGAACGAGATCCAGGACAGGCACCAAAACTACACACAGAAACCCTGTCTCGGAAAACAAAACAAAGTGAAGTCAAAGAACAGTTAAGAGAAGCTGGTAGTGGCGGCTGGGGAGAATCTGGTCAAAGAATGCAAACTTTCAGAGTGGGAAAGAGTCAGAAGATCTATTCTAGAAATGTAGTAAGGGTTTTGGTATTTTTTTTTTCTTTTTTAAGATTTATCTAATTTTTATTTGTGTATAATACGGCAGTGTAAAGATATTCCACGTGTGTACAGTGCCCTCAAAGGCCAACTGGAGTTACAGGTAGGTTTCAGAAATGGAACTCCATAGTCCTCACACTTGGTTTGCCCTCCAAACCATCATCAGAGGGGGAAAAAAAGAAAAAAGAAATGTGGGGTGATAAACGTTAAATAGCTCAATTTAGTCATTCTATAATGCATACGTATTTCAAAATATATTTTTTTTATTTGCTAATAAATTAAGAATTGGGAACGGAGGCATACACCTTTAATCCTAGCACTTGAGAGACAAAGACAGAGGCTGTCTGTGAGTTCAAGGCCAACCTGGTCTCCATAGGAGTTCTAGAACAGCTAGGGATGCACAGTGAGACTATGTCTCAAAAAAAACAAACAAAAAATGAAGAAACTCATAAATTAAAATATAACATCTGAAAGATAAAATGAAATGGGGGGAAAAAAAGGAAACAAAATATGCTTAAATGGAGCCTCTGAAA